ATCAATCAAAGGGCAGCAGGCCACTGTTGCTAAAGAACTGGTGGAATATGCAGTTCACCTGTGGCTATTTCAATACAGCAATAAAATGGAAGATTGTGATCTATGTCCTCTATGAAATACTATGTCACTCAAAAGAAACATCTTTCTTCTCAAACAGGTACAACTAGGTAGCTGTATTTTGCACGAACTGTTTCCTGACCATGATCATTCTCGTTCTACATATTAAATACAAATATGAAACTGAAAAGTAAATGCATAGCTACCTCAGATTGGTCGCTAGATCTGGCTTCTGTGGCTCAATTGGTTGGAGCATCGGCCTACAGACATAAGACTATTTTCCACAAATTTTAGCATAAATGCACTCTCATATGTTTGTAGAGTGTAATTCTTGACCTCATATGTATATGTTATGAAAATAAATTCCGGTACTCTGTATTCTTTAAACAGATTCAATACAAACAAAAAATGGGCTTGATCAATGCATCTAAAAATGTCTGTTTTTTAATCAGAAAAACATAGAGGGAAAAAAATTGTTTCTTTCAGAAATAGACATTTATCAAAGAAATACCTGAGTGGTTAACCCAGTCTTCAACACTAATTAGGACTTCTCTTCACAAGGCAGAGAAGTTGCAGACAAATTAAGGCAGCCATGTCAAATTACTTCTGTAATGAAATTTGCAATCGAACCAAAATACAATGAACATGTGTTTTCTGGTTATAGGCTTGCATTCCTTAGCACTTACCTGCAAAATGTGATGCTATTTTTAGCCAAATAGTTTCTAAATCATGTCTTAGACTAGGTAACTTCTTGTATACTTTCCCCACCAATCCCAACCAAAAACAAAACAAAACAAAAAACTAAATACATTTTCAGGGAATAAGAGGCTTAATGAAAGAGTTCACCAGATTTATTTGTTGCTGCATTTGTTATCAAGCAAGCCAGTATTATTGCTGTTCCTGTCATTATTATATTAGATCATCAACAATAGACCTGAAATCAGCTTTAAGAGATCACTTCCTATCCTGGAAAAGCAAAGATTCCCTTTTCTTCAACAACAACAAAAAAAAAAGTGAGGCTGTGGGGAAAAGAGGACCCTAGTTCATTGTTGGTGGGATTGCAGACTGGTACAACCACTATGGAAAACAGTATGGAATTTTCTAAGAAAACTAAAAATGAACATGCCTTTTGACCAAGCAATTCCACTGTTAGGAGTATATCCTAAGAACCCTGAAATACCAATCCAAAAGAACCTATGCACACCAATGTTCATAGCAGCACAATTTACAATAGCCAAGAGTTGGAAGCAACCTAGATGCCCATAAGTAAATGAATGGATCAAAAAACTATGGTACATTTACACAATGGAATTCTATGCAGCAGAAAGAAAGAAGAAGCTCCTACCCTTTGCAACAGCATGGATGGAACTGGAAAGTATTAAGCTGAGTGAAATAAGCCAGGCAGTGAAAGACAAATACCATATAATCTTACCCTTAACAGGAAGCTAAACAACAAAACAAACAAGCAAGCAAAATATGACCAAAGACACTGAAATAGAGAACAGGCTCACAGGGACCAAAGGGGAGAGGGGAGAGAATTTCAGGGGAAAGGGGGAAGGATTCCCCCCAAAGGGGAAGGATTCATGGGAACAAGTATAAAGGACAGATGGACAAAAACTAAGGTGGGGGAAATGTGAGGGAGGTGGAGGAACTGTGGGGGTGGGCTGGGTTGGGAGTATAAGACAGAAAACTGTAGTTGAACAATAATTAAATAAATCTAAAAAAAATTGAGGTTAAAGGTGGTAACCGATTTGCTCAAGGGCATATAGCTATAAAATACATATGAATTTCTGACCTCCATCCTTACTGGAAGGATTGTTCTACAGTCAGCACTTTTTTCTAAGGGCTAGTTATATTTTCAGGATCAAAAGTTTCCTTTCCTGACATGAATTCCCCTTCCTGGTTGAAAGTTTCCATCTGCTGGGTTTGGGAACATATTGGTAGGCAAAGGGTAGATAAGAAGAGACAGGGGAGGTGTGGTATATTATCTTCCCAGTTGGAAGTTTTCCCTGGTGGACCTATCCTAGCACAACTAAGGGAATTAAGCCTGAGGGCAAGTCAAGGAAGGCTTGGTGCAATCAGAGTGCCAGAGTCAGACCACAGACAAGCACAGGCACAGATGCTAAATCAAAAGTATACACTAATGGTCTTAATGCACATTCTAGTCCTCAGAACTACAGGTTAAACAAACTCAGTTTTTTATTCCTTTCTAATTCAATAACTTACAAGTGACTCCAGGCTTATGACTCAAGTCTTGAGCCAGAAATTGTTAGAATTCTGGCCTTATATTTCCCTCTGATAGGCTTTGGTTTGAGCCCTTCATAAAGGCTATGTAACTGGGCCAATATGTGTTTGTTTATAACTCAAGCATATTTCTAACCACTTTCATTACACCAACCCACTTCGATTTCATAATCTTCCAGATCACCAGTGGCACTGAGTTTATAAACAGAGAGTATAGAACACAAGTTGTCTGCTTCCTATAACAATACATTTTCCACTCTGGCATACTGACTTCTATGCTTTTCATTTCATAACATCCCTGCCAAAATTAATAGTGAAACTCCAAGACTTTCAGTAGTGGTATGTGAAATGTACTTGGTAAACTGTAACTCTTTCCATTTCTATTTATATAATTAATCTAATATGAAATCAAGTCCTTCGGTTGGGGATGCATCGGTTGCTGTGTGTTTGTGTAGTTGAGAAAGAATAGGATTGGAGGTCAAAGATATAACGCAAGGGAGTATCAGCCAACTACCATAGCACCTAGAAAGTTGTAAGAACTCCATAATTATCTATTGATTAAGGAATAAATAAATGAACAAAGAGACCACTGAAAGACTGACTCCAGATTTCTACCTGTCATAATTTAACATGGAAATCACAGAAAGACCTATATTCCTGAGAGACTTTATACTTGTATCTGGAAATCTCCCTCATGAACACAGTGCGTGGCATTGTATCCAGTGGTCAATAAGTTCTGAATAGTAGCAGTTTTAAGAGAAATAGCAGCAGCAACACTAGACACTATACAAAACACTTGAAGTTTATTATTTATTCCTCATAATAATACTATAAAGTTGGCAATATATGTTATGCCCATAATCCATATGAGTGAAATAAAAGACAAGGCCAAATAACTGGAAAGTTCCCAAAGCTAGCAAGTCATAGAACTCAAATGGAAGTATGAGTCTTGCCTGAAGTCCTTGCTTTGATAAGTGAATAAGTGTATGTAAACTGAGTGCAGTGATACTGTGTTTTTATATGGGAGCACCTTGAAAAGGGTTGAACAGAGGAAGTTTAATTTAGTGAATGGCCACCTCTGTGAGGTCTCTGTAATACCAACATGCAAGGACCCCAAAGTATCAGTATGGCCTCAAAGAATAGCAAGAAAATCTGAGAAAGAATCACCAGAAAAAGTCCTAGAATCAGGATGAAGACTTAAGAGAAACACACAGGCATCATGGCAGTAATTTCCTCCATCTGGAGGAAATAACCATCATCTATAGAAAGCAGTAACTCAGTCATTCATTTTTTAAATGATTATGCCAAAATTCTTAGTTTTAAGTGAAATACTATTCTGAACATAAGCTCATTTTTCATTAACAAAACTTCTTGGCATTCTGAAGCAGCTTAGACCCATCATGCTGCTCAACTGCACTGTAACTGGGGGTGTACAAATACAGCAATGATAAGAGAGTTCCTAAGGACAGTGCTGGATGTGCCAGCTCTTACCAAGAAATTTTTCCTTTCTCTTTTTAACTTATTTTTTTCCTGTTTGTTCCCTCCTAACTCTCTTAATTTCTTAATATCTTCATATGTTAAATAACTACAAACTGTATTTTTGAGGAATTAAACATTTCGAGTCTGTAGATTGACAAAGATAGCATATTTCACAAAGTACCACAATGAAACAATTGATATTGCCATTTGTATAATTAGCCATCATAATTAGTTGACTAAATGACTCTGAAGTAAATTCATTGCTAATCATATTTCGTAGTTAAGGAAACAAGTTAATGAACTCTAAAATAACCAGCTGGGGCTACACAATACAAACATGATATAACAGAACAGAAACACATTCAACAACAGACTACAACTTCATAATACAGGTTTAATTTTGAGCCAACTCAGTCTTATCCCAGAAATGACTATATTTTATAATTCTGAGTTGTATATGGGTGTCCAGTCTTCATAGAAGCTAGTAGGTGGGTATAGCAGCATGCCAAGTTTATTGATTACTAGAAGGCAGTCTGGGGAGTTTAAAAAGTGAGCAGACTTTCTCTAACTTCCATATTAGCATCTACTAAATAGTGATAAAACTTCCGGGTACTGAAATTATCCCCAAAGAAGAATTGAGACTCCTGAAAATTTCTATATTTATATTAAACATTGCAAACTAAAGAACATAGTGCAAATATCATTGTGAGGGCAATTTGGAATTGTTCTTTACACAGAGAGAAACTAAGAATGTAAACAGTACAGGGAAAGAAAGGACAAGGAGAAAAAAGCATTTAGTGACCTGGTTCATTCTCTCTTGACCTAATCCTTTTTGTCTCTCAAAGCCTCCTTACCAATGTCCCTATAATTGGTACATCAACTACATATGAGAAGCTTCAGACCCCACTCTCTCATTTTCAACCCACAATAAAGTCAAATGTACCCTGAATTTATTAAACTAGCAAAGATAAATCTCTAAGTAGCAATGGAGACCAAAGATCTCCTTGACATTCTCACTGTACATTTCAACTTCCGGAAATATATTGCATGGTATTTGAATAAAATTACTGTGCCATTTGCAAAATGTTTGGTTATACATTTTTTATTCTAACCAATGCTAATGCACCTTAAGATATCACATATGGCTACCCTCTTAAGGCACTAGAATGTGAAATTATCATCCACAATACCATCATAAGAGAGGAATAAAGACCGATTACCTGGGGTTAAGAGGATGACTGACATAGTGATGAGTGAGCATACAACTAAAATCACCAGCAGGGCAATAGCAATTCCCTTCCAGTTTCTCTGTGGAGGGCTGTTACTTCCCAGTTCCTAACGAGATAGAAAAAAAAGTTTCATAATTATAAATGCTCCAGGAGAAATGTATTCATAAAGAAATGATTCGGTGCATGGCACAATCACAGTTTGAGTTCTGATTAGAATCCCCTTCCTCTTCAGTACCTCATTTAATTATGCAAAGGTACATACATTATAAATGGCTATCTTTTGGGGGGCAATCTTATTTCTCTAAGAGATAAACTAGGAGAGCTTTAGGCCTATTATGCCAAACGCAGGGGATTTTAAATGCAGTGACTATAAACATGAGGATGACAGCTAAAATACTCTGAAAAATAATTATGGAAATTAAGTGTGTCCATTTACAGTTTTTCTCACAACAATAGAACTTAAAATAAAGATTTAAATACAAATACTCCCAAAGCACTACAGACTACACTTCTAACTGGATGGGGAAAAAAGATGAGAGATAGAGAAACCATTCAAAATGCTACCACTGCAGAGCAGTGCACAGTTGTCCACACAACAGGGCCCTTTAAACAGTTCCCCCACCACTCATAAAAATCAACAGGGTGTAGTAACTAAATTAAATGAGTGCTTCTATATCAGTGTTTAACAGCATTCTCTCCCTGGGCAGCATGCATGATATTGTCAGGGAGGTAAGATGGATGAGGAAGGATAAACTTGAGATCTCTCACAATGAACAGAGTAAAGCTCTTCATTTTCAGATGATCTACTCTCTTGACTAGAAATGTGCAAACATAATTCACCAAAGCAGAACACAGACCACACTGGTTTGAAATGTATGCCAGATTTTCTTTGCAATAAAATTTATAAAAACAGGGAGCTTCCTCCTTCTTGCTCCATCCCCCAACATCTTTCCCTCCTTCTCCAATAGAAGCCTCTTTATTTAGAAATAGTTAAGTGATTTGAGAAAAAATAAACAAAACATAAAGTTCACTGTGTATGCATAAATCATTCAAGGAACTATACAGCATCTGTGATTTAAACTAAGATAAACAGTATAGGAAACATTTAATAAGCTATAAATGAGTTCCTGTGACTTACAGATTAAAAAGCATTAAAGCCAATTTTCTATAGTGAAGTTGACATTCACTTCTGCCATAAACATTCTGGACTTGAACTAGGCTCTAAGTAAATTCAAGAAGAAAGTATGTGTAGGAGGTATTTTGTTCTTGATTGTTTACCCCAGCTGAGATCAACCACTTTCAGTTTTTCTTTCAGGCTAATGACCCAAATCCAACAGAAGGCAATTTCACTTTTTAAAATGACTTGCTCTACACCTCTTTTCATGCTTCTAAATGCTTATAATTCAACATATGTATTCCTCTTCTACTTTGCTTAGAATTTCAATTAGTATTTTCCACATAAATCAAGAGAGTAGGTCTCAAATCATTAGTGTTAGAGTAATGTCAAGACAAGAAATAGTTGAATTAAGACCATAAACCAAGCATTTTCTGAAATTCAATGTTACTGCAGTTTTCTAGGTATAATGTGAAGTTACTTCTCTATATTAAGGCTCTACTTCAGGACTACTTGGGGGTCAGAGTGACAGAGTAGAGAGATCAATGCTGTAAATCAAAGCCTAGCACGGTCAGAAAGTTCTGAAACACTCTAATGAAAGAAGGGACAGCAAGTAGGAAGTGGTTGTCTGGGCCACAAATCTTTTTATTTTAAATAACTGTTTATTTTTCAATTACAGTCGACATACAATATTGTTAGTTTGATGTGTACAACCCAGTGATTAGACTTTATATAACTTACTAAGTGATCACCCCAACAAATGTAGTACTGTTCTGACACCATACATAGTTATTATATTATTGACTATATTCCCTATGTTATACTGTACATCCCCATGGCTCTGCTGTAGCTACCAATTTGTACTTCTTTCTTTAAATATATTTTATTGATTATGCCATTACAGTTGTTCTATTTCCCCCCTTCATTCCCCTCCACCCTGCACACCCTCTCCCCCACCATTCCCCCCTTTAGTTTATGACCGTGGGTCTCAAGTTCTTTAGATTCTGTATTTCCCACACTATTCTTGCCCCCCATCTATTTTCTATCTACTGTCTATGCTACTTATTTTCTGTACCTTCTCCCCCCTTCTCCTCCTCCCACTCCCCTGTTGCTAACCCTCCATTGATCTCCATTTCTGTGGCTCTGCTCCTGATCTAGCTGTCCACTTAGTTTGCTTTTGTTTTAGGTGTGGTTGTTGATAACTGTGAGTTTGCTGTCCTTTCACTGTTCATATTTGTATCTTCTTTTTCTTAGATAAGTCTCTTTAACATTCCATATAATAAGGGCTTGGTGATGATGCCTGGGCCACAAATCCTAAACATGTTCGAATTTGTTGACTGAAAGGGAGGTGAGCCAAGTAATTCTCAGTGTAAGGAAGAGATTAAGAAAGGGTGGCTGACTTCTCAGTCTAGTAAAAGGATTAAGAGTAAACAAAAATTGAAATAAACTAATTCTGACTTGATTTACTGTTACTTAAGTTTAATGCAAATTGCTAGACTTTTTTTGTTGTTTTTCAATGTGATGTAATCACCACATGCTGTCCCCCAGACATTGTCAGAGACTAATAATAGCTTAAATATCTTACTATGTGTATTTATTATATTCAGTACTTTATATTCACAATCTCATATAATCCTCATAAAGATAAGGGAAATTAATGTTATTTTGATAGATTTACAGGTGAGAAAATGGGATTTAAAAAGATTTTAAAATAAATCCACTCAATGTTAATAAGTGGAGATATCAGGGCCTAGACCATAAGTTGGGCTTCAGAGGACATATTTTTAACCATTGCACTATGCTGTTCTAAAACGAAATAGTTCTAGGATAAATTCATGAATCAACCAATAAATCAATGAATCAAGGAATGACTGGTATCCCAACATAATAATAGTTGCACTTTAATACTTTTTCTTTAAGAAAATCCATAGTTATACAAAAGCCTTCCTGAATTCTGTTATGCTTTCAAATACATTTGTTTCCCTCGTCACAGCAAATTGAGAAAATATACCATTTTTTAAAGTAATATAACATATGTTGCTGATAATTTTTTCTTCTTAGAAGGAACACATAAGAATATGCAGCTGCTCTGAAGTGACTCATCAATGTCCGCAGTGCATACACACCTCTGTTCAGGAATAAGCAGACTTAATGAACACATACTATAATTCTCCCCTGCCTGTCCACCACACATCCTATTACCTAATTTCCTTCCATCCCATACTTTTCATGTGTATCCAATTATAGACACTGTAAGCATTCAACATCCTGCTCAAATGTCTCTTCTTTAGGGAATTTTCCCTAATTATGAAGGCCAGATATGAGTTTCCTTTCACTAGGAAAAAATACATGAAACACATTGTATCAATAGGTTATATCTGTTCCTTAACAGAGATGAGATGGCAAACGTTATTGTTAATTTTTCAAGCCTCAGATTCTTTAAAAAATGTTAACTGTGATAATAATGATAATTATTTTAAAATCTTGCAACAATTAAAACAAATTATTTAAACCAAACTCTCACTTAAATGTACAATAAGGAAGTTCACACTAAGTATACTGCTTGGGATGTTCTTCCTCCACACCCTTGCACTCATTGTTCAAGTCTCATCTCAAACACTCCTTCCCTAAGAAGCCTTATCTGACCATCTTCTCTAAAACATTATACCATATCTCCTACTATCCCCTTCACTCAGCTAAAATTTTCTTCATAAAGCTATCCCTTTTGGTATATCAAGTGTCATATTTAATTATATATATAAAACAATATACATTAAACTGTTTGAGTGTTCATTTTATCTGCCTCAGCTCCCCAGAAAAGAAGTTTTGTAATATAAGTGACCTAGTTCCACTTGCCCTCTGCTATTTCTTCACATTTTGAAGTGTGTTCAGCACACACTGGCTATACAACAGATAATACAAAATGAGTGAATGAATGAATGAATGATGAATGAATGATGATAGTGGCTATGGTGATGATAATTATGACCAATGGTAGTGATAATTATAATGATAGTAAAGATTAGAGCCCTGTATAAAGACTGATCACATCTGTGTCCAAGTTATTATCTCCTAAAAGTGAGAATGGCATCTTAGGTAACTTTGGATTACTCGATGCACTTAACAATCTCTGGATCTCCTGATAGGAGCTCAGAAAATGATCACCCAATTAATGAAGTGGCATAAACAGAGTCCGGAAAGGTTATAGAGACACACTGCTACTAGCTAAGTATGAATTAATATTAGTTTTAAAATATAGCTACTTGCTAAAGATTAGTTTAATTGTAATTATTTTTGTCTCAATTATCTGATGCTTCGTTAACAAAACAGTTGTCATTCTTGAAGTTACCTTCTCTATCAAAAATCTCCTGTACTCTTGAAAAGTAACTAAATAAAATTTAATATTAAAAAAAAATCTCCTGTACTCTAATTTTCATTGCTGCCAGACATGGTCCCAATTGTCTTTGCTTTTCAATGACTTCCTACCAGACAACACCTGAAAGCAATCAACTGCAATTTCCAGGGCCACAAAACAGATAAGGTGCTATGTAGCAGCCTGAGAAATAAAACACTAAAGGTGCTTGCAACATAGTCATCTGGATGCAGAACAGAGCCAATGTTGGGATATCACATTCCCAACAGAGGCTAGAAAGGACAAGAGCAAGTATCTCATACTCAATATAAAGGGGTGCTTTTGAAAGTCCTCCAGTGAACAGATGCATCACTTGAAACACTTGTGTCCAATTCCAGATAATATTGCTGCAATTGCTAGACACATGTTGGTACTACAGACCAAATTAAACTCGATCTATAACCTAATTATTTATGTTGTAGGTACTACTGATCCACATACTCATCACCTTTCAGGAAGCAGTAAGAAGAAGGTATCCATGACACCCATAGTTTACGTAAATCCAAATGCATTTTTAATTTTTTCACGTGCACAAGACAAAATTTTTAACATCATAGGTAAAAAACATTCAATTTCCTTA